GTTTCGTTCTGCTGTGCATGGGGTCGCTATGAGTCGGAAACAACTCGACGGCACTTAACAACAACAACAATCCACTTCTGTATAGTTTCTTTCAAAGCTCAGGGCTCCAGGATTATCTTCTGTATCCCTGTCAATTGGTTTTTCTTTTCTTTGTTGAAGAGGATCTGTGCCACTTGTATGCCTATTCCTCCATCTTACTGGAAGTCCGGGATCTGTTGGTTGTTTTTTAAATGACTTTTCTAAATTAATTCTGTAAAATCTGTAGTCTTTGTCATGTGTAACCACTGAAGTCTCCACACAGTGAGCTTAGTGGTTAGCAAACTATTGGAGGAGAACCAATGTCTCCTGGGCTTTACTGAGAAATTCTGTGTGCATGTTGGGGCATTCCTTCATCACTTAGGCACTTAAGAACTCTGCTGTAGCCTTAGCTTTCTGCTTGAACAGATTCTCAACATCAGTCAGAGGTGCTAGCTCTTAGTGTCTGAGTATGTGCACAGCCCTGGGCAAATATATGACCCTACACATGCACATGGTGGCGTAGTGCCTAAGGCACTTGACTGCTAACTAGAAGGCTGGCGATTCAAATCCACCAGCCACTCCTTGGAAGGAAGGTTGGGCAATCTACTTCCGTAGTGATACTGCCTCAGAAACCCAAGGAGGGGTCGCTGTGAGTCGGGTCCAACTCGATGGCACATAGCAACAATACAACAACATGCACATGGTCGTCTAGATTATGTCAGAGCTCTTTAAAGGTCTTTTTGGCATCTCATACCCCAGCCTCCTTTTCAGTTTTTTGTTAGTCTATTATTTCACCCAACTGTTACTCTTCACCCTGGGCTAGCTCCACATCTAGGTCAAATGTAGACAACCTTGCATGTGGAGTCTTCTGTGAAAACCAAACAGATCAAATGATGACAGTTCTTTGTGATTGGAACTCTGAAGAAGCTTCATCCCTGTTCTGCCCCTTCCAGTGGCTGTGTGGCTGCGTGGCTGCTGATTTTCACTGTGAATGTGAACTGTTAGTTTTAAATCTACTGAAGAGCTCTAGAGAATAGGGATGGGCCTGAGGCAAGTTAAAACACCACAAAGTTTTCTGTTCTTATCAAGTTCAACCAATTTTCTTGAATACATGTTCCAGATTCCTGCAAGCCTTTGGTTACTTTCTAGAGTCTTGGAAGAGTTGGCGATTTTTGCCACTTTTCTTATTGCACTTATGGCAGAAATTATTTTAGAGGGCCTTACTCTGTTATTTTCACTGATGTCCTTACCTCAGTAACTCTTAGCTTGTTCTGTAAGCCCCTTCTTCCCTTCCTTTTACTAGTGACTGTTAAATGAACCTTTGTTCCCTCTTCATATTTGAAATATGGGATACTGCCAAGGACATTTACTGCAGCAGTATGTATAATTGGAAAAGGATCATGATATGAAGTGAGGAAAACAAACAACAAAATGCAATGTATTCAAAATTTTTAAAAATGAGTTTTATAAATACATGTATGTGTACACCAAAAAGCCATTGGGAAGAACTACATCAGAATGTTGATGTTGTTGTTATGTGCCATCGAGTCGGACCCAACTTACAGCAACCCCTCCTTGGGTTTCTGAGGCAATATCACTACGAAAGTAGATTGCCCAACCTTAGCATTTATTATTTTATTATTTCTGGGTGATAAAATGAGGGTTCAATTATGTGGCTTAAAAAACAAAACAAAACTTTATTCTGTATATTCTACCATAAGTTTATACTAATAGATTTTATTATAAAAATAAAATGCAATGATGAGGCACACTTGTACTGGATTTCACTTATGTAAGTTAAATATAGAAAGGAGCTTTGTTTCACTGGGCTGTAGTAAGGTGGATTATATAATAAGGTAGACTGATGAATAACTAGTAGTCTCATAAATTGATTAGCATTTCACTTTTTCTTTCCAGGCACATATTAAATTTCCTATTGACTACCCATATTCACCACCTACCTTCAGATTCTTGACCAAAATGTGGCACCCCAACATTTATGAGGTAAGAAATGTCTATCAGAAATTTCTCTGAAGATTTCTTTTTCAGATATAATACTTTAAAATAGCCTCTGTATCTCAGTATGCTGTGATAGGTGCTTCTCTAGCCACAAAGGTTAGCAGTCTCTGGTTTAGTTGTTCAAAATTGGAAGTAATTTTATAAGATCCATGTATATTTTAGTAAAGTTAACATTGAGGTTTTAAATCTTTCCCACTTTGTACTAAGATTATAATGCATATGTATTAACATTTGCATTTTAAAATTTAGTAGACAGTCATAGAAATTTATTTTTGTATCTTCTGACTTCACAGCAAGGGTCACCTGTACTTTGATAGAAATTCTGCTTTTGTGGGGCATCCTTTTGGACTGGCCTCCTTTCAAGGGTTGCTGCTGAGCATTTGAGAGCCTCTTTTGGAATAAATCCAAGGTGAGGTTCTTCTGCTAAACAAATCCATAAGCCTGGGTGAAATAGTTATAGTTTTGTTAGTGAATCATACTTAGCTTTAAGGTAATCCGTAAGTTTGTTAGAACAGTGCATTATGGTTCTCAGGATGATAAAATGTCAACTAAATATCCCTTTGACCACTCTTTACCATGCTGTAATCTTTTCATTGCAATATTGGCTCTGCAGTGATCTCATTTTATTGGTGCAGGAGCCAAGCATTAGAATTGCTTTTGATACTTGGAGCTTCAGTCATTTATTTCCCCTTTTTTGCCTGAATGTTTTTTGGTGGATGTTTGGGAAGCACCTTTGGTCCAGAAACAAAGCTACATAGCCTTTGAAAATGCTTCTAGGCAAGAAATGAAGAAACTCCTTTGGGTCTTGAACTTGGAACTTTTAGTCTTTATAAATTAGGACATTTTGGCAGCTTTATCACTTTTCTTAATTTGCTTCTTATGTAAGTCAGTTATTATTTCCTTTTTAAAACAGGACAAACAGGTGTTGAAAAGGTAATATGTAATTTGATTTCTAAAAATTAGCTCCCAGAATACTAGTTTTATTAGTATTTGGCATAATCATAATACAAATAAACGATAGTGAAATAGTCCTGATGTTGCACAGTCCCTGTGTAGAATGAAAGGTTTGTTCTCAGATTACTAACCTAAAGGTTAGTAATTCAAATGTGCTTTGTGGCACTGTGGAAGAAAGGCCTAGTGATCTGCTTCCATAAAGATTACAGACAAGAAAACCCTATGGAGCAGGTGTACTCTGTAGTACATGGGGTCGCCATGAGTTGAAAGTGACTCAACAGCAGCTGGTCACTGTAACTTGTATTTGGTATAGCAAAGCCATCACTCTGTTGTAGGAGAGTCTATAGAAATAAGTCATTGCTTTGTAAGTTAAAACAGAGTTCAGTATATATAGAAGTAATTTGGGGTCCATATTCATTTAATAATCAAAAGTCCCAGCTTTTGAAATTACATAGAATATATAGGTTTTAGATAGCAAGAGACAAGAGGACCCAGTTTTGTCTTGCTTAAAAAAAAAAAAAAAAAAACCAAAACCAAACTCACTGCTGTCGAGTTGGGTCCGACTTACAGTGACCCCTCTTTGAGTTTCCAAGGTGGTATCACTACAGAAGTAGACTGGCCAATCTTCTTCCAAAGAGTGGCTGGTGGGTTTGAACCGCCAGCTTTCTGGTTAGCAGTCACATGCCTTAAGTACTGTGTCACCAGAGCTCCTATCAAATACTAATTAACCTTAAAGCCATATAGTCATTTGTTTTCATCTTAGTTATATAATTCCCAAATGCCTCTTAGAAACCAGTCAAACAAAACAGAATATTGGAATTCAAAGCTCTAAAGGAAGAAAGTGGGGTTAAATAATTAAGCCCCTTCCCTTTTTTCCTTTCCCTATTAATCTGTTTAATTATGTCTTTTAAGATTTAGCGTTGGCTTATCATTTTTCTCCCCTGATATTCTTTTTGGCTTGTGATTTTTAAAATTATTTTTATATCCATAATATATTTTTTCTATAACAAAATCATGCATGTTTTGTGAATATGCAGGTTTTTTTTTCATACCATAAATGTTTTGTTTTTAAAGAAATGATAAATCATAGTTAAGAATTAAACGTGATGCAGTCAGAGGAGTCTTAAGGGACTTCTCACCTAAGTTCATTTGCCATTGCCAGCACTTTTGGAGATGGTTTCTGAGTTGAAGTTGCTGAGGGCACTTGTCAGTATTTAATGATTTTAGAGATCTGGGGTTCATGGTTCTTGGCCATGAGAATTGTGTCAAGATTCCCTTACCTGTATTGTCACATATGGTAGAAGCAGAATGGATCTCAATAGCAAGTTGCTCTAGTCAGCAAAATTTTCACTGCAGAATTCTTTTTAATTACCAAGAAGGGAAAAAAAAAAACAAGAAAAGCAGACACAAAAAGCATGAGTTCATGCTCTATGCTGCAGCCTGCCCAGTGCTGGTTATTTCCCCAAGTGTAGCCTGAAACTGAGGGCTATGAGGGTGATGGGTGGGGTTTGGTGTTCCCACTATCAGGAACTTCAGTCTTGAGAACTGGGCAGGAATGGGAGATAAGCAAGATAGAGCCCTCTCTTGCTCCTAAGCACCCCTCCGCCAAGAGCTTTCTTTGAGAGGAGATGAGCCGCCATCCAGAAATTAAGGGAGAACTTGCTGGAAAAGATGACAAGCTACTGTCAATACTAAAAAAAATATTTATGTTGATTCCAAAGATCCTGTGTCTTCTATGCAGACAAAAGTGGAAAACATCAAGAACCAAAGGAGTTCAGAATGCTCAAAAGCCACCGTCATATTGATATGATGAATATTACAAATATTCCCAAAGTCAAAATTTCAATTGTAGATGAGTTGACACTTCTCAGTAATCATAAACTTTATGGAGATACATGGATTGCTGAAAACAATAGCCCAGTATCACCTAGAACTGAAATATACAAGTTCCCTTCTTTGTTACTTTACTTTGAACTTAAAATCTTTCCTCCTGAAGACAGGAAAGCAATACAACCAAAGTGAAGAAAGTCATGAAATTACTTTTCCTCTGTGTACTCTCCATTTCCCTGTCCTATTTGTTTCCACATTTTTAGCATATTAAGTTATATAAATGACTGACTGTTTCAAGTTCTCTCCTTATAACAGCATACTATTAAGGAGTTTTGCTGATTTCTGAGAGAATGAGGTTTTTCTTTTCTTAACTTTAATTTGGTTTAGTCATATGATTATATGTATGTCAGCATGACTAATCAGCGTAACATCTATACATTCATTATAATAAAATAATATGTTATTTTAGGCATATGTACCAGGTTTTCTGGGAGCTCTGGTGTTATAGTGCCCAGGGCATTTTGACTGCTAACCGGAAGGCTGGTGGTTCAAATCCACCAGGCACTCCTTGGAAGGAAGTTGGGCAATCTACTTCCATGGAGATACTGCTTCGGAAACCCAGGGAGAGGTTGCTATGAGTTGGGACCGACTTGATGGCAGTGAGTTTGGTTTTGGTTTTGGTTACCAGGTTTTTAATTGGTCATGTGGCCTCTTTGGAAATGTCCTGAATCCCTCATTTAACATTCAGAGTTTTACTTTTCAGTTTTGGTGGTTAGTGAAAGTAAGGAATTTCCTGACTGTTAAGACTTTCTTGCTAGAGAAAGGAAGATTTGACAGTGAGGTCTAGAATAATAGTATTTCCCAGGTAAAGCCAGATTGCATACAAATTAATAGAAAATGCGTTTTTTTATGACTACTTCAGGAAAGGATTAAAAATACTGAGGGGTTCCTTTGTTTTAGATTGGCTAAAAATATGGAATAACTATCTTTAAAATTATATACATATATATGTTGTTGTTGTTATGTGCCATCGAGTCAGACCTGACTCATAGCGACCCCTCCTTGGGTTTCCGAGGCAGTATCACTGCGGAAGTAGATTGCCCCATCTTCCTTCCGAGGAGTGGCTGGTGGGTTTGAACCGCCAGCCTTCTGGTTAGCAGTCAAGTGCCTTAGCCACTATGCTACCAGAGCTCCTATATATATATATAAAGAAACCCATGTCCCAGTCCCAAAGTACAGGAATTGATTAAAGAATTTTTTGTACAGTTTTCAAAATTTTAAGAGCTTTGGTTTCAGTTTGTTAGATGCACACATGACATTTTACTACAGCCTGAAAAGTTATAAAATACTGCTATTTGAATATGCTTTTGCTAAGACATATCAAGTAACTTATGTAATCACCAAGAATCTACACTGTTGAAGGTTTTGCCAAGTCTCTTAGAGGTAGTAAAATTTAGTCTATGTAAGTGGTAAATGTGTCTAATTTTACTCATTTTGTAATGTTAAACCATTATGAGTAAAAGGGATGAGAACCATAGTTAGCTTCTAAAAACTGAAAGAACTGGATATTTCAAGAGGTCCTGGAAAATAAAAGCATGTAATTATAAATTATATTTCAAAATGAGTGTGAGTTTTTGTCTGAGTTCAGACAAAAAAAGAATACCTACCTGTGTTTTCCTACCATTCCTTCCTTATCATACACATAAGCCTTTTCTATACTCTCTTTACCTCATTATGTTCACAGGAGATGTCATTTCACTATAGGTGTATTTGAACCCTTGAAATAGGATGTTTTTCTAATAATGATTACTTTATCTCCTATTTCAAAACACTTAGTAAAATTATTTTTAGACAGTAAAACAAATGGCAGCACAGTTGATTATGCTTCATCTCCTTTTATTATTTATATACCTTTGTTCTAATAAATTATTGAAAATTATTCTTTTCACTGTTTAATAGAATTTTCTCTTACGGCTTCTGTGGTAGTTCTGTGATTTCTCTGAGAATTAATTTTAATGGTTGTTCAAACCAAGAATTAAATAATGAAGCCAAATAAATCACATTAGATTTTATTACATAGAAGTTGTAATATTGTATTCCCTAATCTTTTTAAGATTAGGGAAATTTGCTTAAGTTCATTATTATTAAACTGATTTCATAAAATTCAAGTAGAAATTAATTCTAAAAAATTTAGGGTAGTT